GCAAGCACCTATATAGTCCCAGGTACTTGGGAGGCTGACACAGGAGGATCACCTGAACCGAGGAGTTTAAGGATGCTGTGAGCTGTGATGACTCCATAGCACTCTAACCTAGGCAACAGAGAATAAGAGGGGAGGGGAGGAGAAGGCTTTGGGCTTAGGCAATTCTCTTGCCTCAGGCTTCTGAGCAGCTGGGAGTATAGGTGCCTACCACAACACTTGGCTATTTTTTTGTTGTTGCAGTTTGGCCAGGGCGGGGTTCGAACCTGCCACCCTTGGTATATGGGGCCAGCATCCTACTCACTGAGCCACAGACGCTACCCAAGACAACCCCTTTCTTTGTTCTCTCAGAGTATACCTTCATTTTGCACTGAAGCTGTGTCTCCCGGTTCGCAAAGTACTGGTGGAAATGAAGTCTCTCTTAACCTAATTCTTCCTTTCTCAGTCGTTTCATTGACAAGGAAAAAGGACAATGGTTGTGTTTTTACTTATTGCGGTGGATACTGGATTTATGCTAAGACTATGTTCAAGAAACTATATATAGTATCTTTAATCTGGGAGACTGAATTTGAGAAGTTTTTTCCTAGAGATAATACAAAATCAGTCTAAGAATCACAGTACTGATCTGCAGAGCAAAGGTGATGCAGACGGCAGAGTAGAGATGCAGACAAAACAAGGTGAGTAAAAAGGCTAGAGAATTAAGATGGACTGATTGACAACGACCCAGACAAGAAGCTGTCGGTGACAGGTTGTCCAGACCCATCAAGTGTCCAAACGACAGTTCAGCATGCCCACACAACTTCTTTATGATTTCGAACAGCCAGCCATTCATTACAGGGAGATGATCCAACTTTTTGCATTTGATCTGATCAGTAAACATTTCTATTGGGGTTTAATATACATTACCTGATCATCTTCAGCACATCCTGGGTCTGAAAGTCATTGCCATTTACAGGAAGAAATGGCATTCCTGAGCCCTCCTTCCTGCCTCGTGTGATATTTTCCATCCAGTACTCCAAGTGTCCTCACCTATGAGATCTGAGCCTCCAGGTGCCCAGGCCACAGGCCCTGACACTGGCACCACCAAACTCAACCCTGTGCTGATAAATTTCTACTGCAGTCAAAGGACAAAAATGATCCCTGATTCTCATTTATATGCTAGAGATTAAAAGATAATACCCAGGAAGGGAAGAGGCTTTATGTTTTATTGAGACAGGGTCTGGCTCTGTCACCCAGGCTGGAGTACAGTGGTACAATCATTGCTTACTGTAACCTTGAACTCAAGCCATCCTCCTGCCTCAGGAGGTAGGACTAGAAGGGCTAGCCACCATGCCTGGCTAGAAGCTTTGAATTCCTAGAATGATGCCTTATGAATCCAAATGGGATGATGGTATGCGTATAACCCTACTGGCTATTGGGACTCAGGGCTGAGTTTAGCTTAGTAATGAAGAGCATGGCACTAAATCCACTCCTGGCTCTTGTAATCCCAGTCTGCCTAGCAGACAGCAGAAGAGTGTTCCCTGTGGTACCAGGGACGACCCTCGTCTTCCATTGGTCAAGAAGCCCCTCTGTTTCTTTCTCCCTTTGCTTATGAGTAACCCCTAAATGAAAGCACCAAAACTGCTCTGGACCCAAGCCCAGACACCCAGAAAGGCCCCAGCTGTAAGGTCTGTAGCCAAGCAGCTGCGTGTGCACAACTTATAGGGACACACATAGTGAGATGAGCTGGGACTTCTAGTCTCTCTGGATCCTGAAGTTCCTGAGCTCAAAGAGACAGACTGAAAGCAAATCTGACACTGGGTTCAAATCACTGGGTAGCATGATTCCCCACCAAGGGGCAAAGTTCAGAATTAAAAGGAGAAAACTAAAAATCATGGAAAGTCTTTGAGAGTATTTATCCAATTGGAGCCAGGCCTTACTCTGATTTAAAATCTTTCTCTGCCCTTCAAAAGTGACACCCCTCATTTCTCTGTAAGGGTCACACTTTCTCTGCTGGGGCTGAGGGGTTCCCATCCTTCTGTCTCTGCCTCCCCTCATCTGAACCTCAGCCCTAGCCTCACCTACCGGATGACCTCAAGGTCTGAGGGAGCCCTGTGTCAGGTGCTGCTAGAATTCCACTTGGTCATCTTGTGTTTCAAGAAAACACACGTTTGGAAAGTTTTAGTAATGGGATGTCCAAAAATAACAGAATGAGGAATGAAATGTGGAATTCTCTGTGCTTGGTTTGGAGAGGACGAAAGGAACCAAAACCTGAGACCATGACCTTGAAGGGTAGGAGAGCTGATAGCACCCACATCACAGCATGCTTAACCCTCAAAATGCAAGATGTACCCTACACGTTTGTGACTCAGAATCCTGGAGGGAAACTGCATTGTATTACACATTTAGCCTTTAGCTAGACCTAGACAGCAAAGAACCAGCCTGGATGTCCTGAGCTAATCTGAAAGAAACTGAGACAAGGCCTATGGTGACTTTGTCCACTTGGGCTAATGCAAATATATGCCAGAGGGACACGGAAACTACTACAGCAAGGAGGCACCAAATGCAGAACACCCTTACCACGTTCATAAAGGAACCTTTAGTCAATATTCTGTTGGCCAATTATTTGCTCAAAAGGGATACTCGACCTCTTTAGTAAGTTTGGGCCCTATCTTTTTGCAGACTGGCCGTCCACTTCATTATATGTTTATACCACATTTATACCTGGTCTACTACCAAATTCTGTGTTATTTGCAACTCTTATCTGAACAAAAGACTTTTTCTTTAAAAAAAAACTTCCATTGCCACTTAGACAAGTGTTTTCAAACTGCCTCAAGCTCTCAGAAGGCAAATACCCAGGGCTGAGCAGAAGGGGCCTCTGCTCTCCCTTGGTAGGCAGGCACTCCCCTCCAAAACACACACTTCGGCCTGTGTGACATACTGAGTTTACAGTTCTGCTGCTTGAAAAGGAGGGCTTGAAAAATCACTGACTTGGATGGGTAGGCTTCTTCAACTGGAAGGTCCTCAGACAGTATGGGCTCCCATACCTCACTGTCCAGAAACAGTGAGAAATTGGGCATCCCCTTTAGGACAGAATCCAGAGGGTTTCTTTTTTTAGGGGAGAAGGAGGAAAATCCCTAAAAATTGCTTCTAGGCTTTAACAAGTGTGCAACCTCAGTAGGCAAATACACCTTCTAATGACTGTTGGATTATAGTCATTCTAACATTTCTGGTGTTTCTTAAAAACAAACAAACAAACAAACAAACAAACAAACCCCACTAGACTAACAGACAAGGCATTACAAAGACCAATTATGAAACACGTATGTTTACAGTCATATATATATATTCTGTCCCTTCTACCATTTAGGGGATACAAAGTCCAGAGCTCAAGTACAACCTACCTTAAGCAAATTCAAAGCAAATGTAATTACAAAGCAGCTTAATGATTACTCGTATCATGGAAAGGGTTGTCAGAACATTTCTCTATATAGCAACATCACTTGGTGTTTAAAATATAACTCAATTACAAACAGTGTTTAATCTGGACACAACTTCAGAATGTGTACTGGGGACAGTTAGATGCAGAGGGAGGAGAAAAGGAGAATGGAACTGCCCCATTCCCTAAGTGTCTGGGAATGAGGGTTTCAAATACTGTATGAGACACAAGGTTAAGATCAGAGGAAGCACGTGGGGTAACAATAACCACTGTGACTTTTTTTTCCCAGAAAAATAATTATTCTTAACCTGCTTCCCAGGCTAAACCGTGTAGAGCTATGGCTAAAACTTCCAGACGCAGAGATTGGCGTGAGGCAGCAACTTGAGGGGGACAGGACATCATGGACACACAGGTGGTGACGGACGGTGAGTATCCATGGAGACAACAGGAGGATGTGACACCCAGGACACACAGGACACGTGACATTTTGGACACAGATATTCACCTGACACACAGGCCAGGGTTTTCTGCTGAAGCAATGCTTCAGATCTTTTTTGCAATACTTCAGATCTTTGTCGCAAGAGAACATGCGGCAGCAGACACACAATTGCCTGGTTCAAAAGATCAGGAAGTAAGCAGGTCTAAACCAACCCAGTGTACTTAAGGGAGTAGGGGGTGGGGGAGGGAGGCCCTTGGGATTCCCCACCTTTCATGCAGCTTCCACTGGGAGTGGAGGTGGGCAGGCAGTGCCCAGCCTGGCACTGCGAGTTTGCGTTTTGTGAATGGTTAAGCAGCAGAAGCAAACAGCAGGTGAATATGGTGTTTCAGAGAGTTAAGTCAAAACCCATCCAATGAGGTTCAATTTCCTCTGGTTCTACTACCAAAAAAAAAGATGGTAGGGGAGGAAAGAAGAAAAGGAAAAAGAAAAAAAGAGAGAGTGGGGTTGGGGTGGGAGGAGGACAGAGAGAGCGCATGGAGGGGGGGTGGTAGGAGGGAGGGGAAAGAGAAAGAAGGGGTGAATTTCAGCATTTCCAGCAGTGCTTGTTCCCAGGGAATTCTATCGGGTGTGACGACTCAGAGTTGCCTGTGGAGAGGGGAATAACAACTCTGCTCACTGTGAGGGCTGGTAAGAGAGGTCTTGGGAACACTTTGGTTTCCAGTGTTTGGGGTCTGTTTTCCCTCTTGGCCTCTGTGAGAACATGCTTGTGGGTGTTCACAGGAGGTCTTGGCTCCTTGGCTTTGAATTTGACTTTGTAGTTTTGCATTCCCTGTTTTTGCAAAAGCTGCAAGGTGGCGAGATAGCTGCTGGGGTTGGGAGAGCACACCAGGCTCTTCTCAGGCAGGAGGGGCCAGCGCAGGCAGCACTGCTGGGGACCGGCCAGCAGGCTTGTCCTGGCCGCCTGGGAAGGGAAGGGCAGCAGGTCGTCAACCTTAAAGTGCTTGGTCAGCTCAACAGGTCTCTTTGCACCATTCCCGTCATCTCTTTCCAATCTATAGCCACAATCCACACACTCATCCTTTTCCACACTCAGCACCTTCTCTTCTGACTGCAAGAAAAAGTTCTTACTCTTCTTACCCAGAACATCCAAGCCATTTGGGAGTGAAGGTTTCAGGGGGGGCAGAACTAAAAGGGCCTTGGTTGTCAGGGAGTCTGAGATGGATATCCCTCTGTCAGCGCCGCCCCCAAGACTCCTGGGGCCTTTGCCCCTAATGGTCTCCGGGACATCCCAGTCTTCTGTGCACAAAATAAATTCCTTGATTTGCACACTTTTTTTCTCTCCATGAAAGTAGGTGGGAAAGCATATTTTACTGATCTCTCTGGAAGCAGTGTTGGAGCCCTGGGGGCACCCCTGAGTCTGAGAGAGGCTGCTCCGATCCTTCTCCAGGCTGGCCTCTGCCTCAGCCCCTGCCTCTAATTTCCCAGTCTCCATAAGAGGCCTGGCCTCAAGGCTCCCTTGGGAGATATTCATACAGACTAAGCAGCCACTGCCGGCATTTTCTCCTACCCTCGCCTTTTTTAGTTTCTTCTTTTGCCAGATGCAGGCAGTTGGAGAAATCCTGCCCCAGCCTTGGACCTGCAAATAAAAAAACACATTACTTTCTAGGCAAGGTCCCCGAGCTCTAGTTGCTCCAATTTGGGCCACATCCCCATTTTGGCAGTCTTTTTCTTTTTTTTTGAGACAGGGCCTCACACCTCACAGCAACCTCCAACTCCTGGGCTCAAGTGAGTCTCTTGCCTCAGCCTCCCAAGTAGCTGGGACCACAGG